TAAAATTAACATTCAGTCGCGTTTCTTATCAAAACTTCGCCATATCAAGATTGATTCACAGCTACCGACAAAAATCAATACCGAATAAACGAATCTCCTCGTTCATTTTCACACTATCAATCCGTAGAATGACTTAACGTTAAAAAGAACAAAAAAACATTTAAAGACGGATTTAATTTAGTATTTATTGGTATTAATTTAGTATTACTTGAAAAAAGAAAAAGAAACGGTGTGCTTTATGTAAATCTTTATCGCATAGAAAAAGTGAAAAAAGCATCATTTACATTAATATATACATATATGTATGTATAAGAAGATATAGTGAACTTAAATTGTATAAAAAAAAAATAACTTTCTTCGCGCGCGTCGTTTATCTCAATTTTTTGAAATGTAAACGCTCACACACTTGACGGCGACTAACAGATTTGATTGTTGGCACACGAATCATAATCTGTTGATACTGTTTGCGAAATAAGTTTCGTCCAACAATATCGACCATCTATTTGTCAATATCAATCCGTATGCATATATCGGTGGGAAGGAGAGGAGAAAGTTTGGTACACATATACATATAATTATACGTATTTCTATATATTAAATTACTTTGTGTTTTCTCAGTGTTTCCGCATAGTTTACTTTTGTATCAATCACGAATTTTACGGATATTGATTTGAATCGAGCTTATTGTCAACGTTAAGAGTCTACTAACGAGTCTTTATCCCCCCCCCCCCCCCGCCACCGCCAACTAGCGCGCGCATACCTATACGCACACGCACGCGAGATCGCGCCATACATACATACTACATACGCACGCGCGCGGGAGCAAGCTCGAATGAGGCGAGGAATGTAACTAGATGGAAACCGGTAGTGTGCATTTTCAACTTGCACGTACTGTCTGATTTTAAATTTGTATAAATTTACACGCCTGTAGATACATACACGAATACAAACACATTTCTTTCCACCTGCCTTGTCACGTATCGCTATCGCTACGAACGTTGACTCCAAATCTTCGTTTAATGCAAATGGTTGTGAGCGATAGTCACCGAGAACTCTAGCTCCGATGAAAGAGTTGTATTGAATTTGTGCTACTGAAAAAAGAATCACAGATACGACGATCGGAACGAATACTTCAAATTTATGCGAAATATCAATCGAAGAATCTACTTTTCCAATCGCCTTTTATAAATCCTACATCAAGACCGATCTTGAACTATTTTGATGAAAGAAATGAAAAGAATTCTCTAAAGATGAAAGAAAATGAAGACGGAAATTACAAAGCTTTCCCCATAGCCTTTTAACGTGTATAAATAGAGCGTGTTTAAAAAGAATTGGAATTTTCTTACGCTTTGGGAATAAATTGGTGGATTGTATGGCGCGGCATGCGCGCGCACACGCGATACAGTCTCGCTCTAAGCCTAAAAATACAAATTTAAATATTGCGTAACGCGTCGGTGTCGGTAGCAACCACTCATTTTCACGGGCAATAGTCGCTTCCCGGGCGGAAGGGAGGGAGAAAGAGGGAAAATAGTTCTACCTAACGCGACACAATACGGTGACATTTGTAAGAATAACATATGACGCCTATTCTTAATACTTTCGCTATTCGTTATATCGCAATCACATAAGTAAAAATATCACATACGTCATGGCGTGTTGTAATATAAAACACTTACCACACAGTCCCAATCGGATGCAAATCGGAATATGTGGGCTAATGGAATATGTTGTGCGTGCGCGCACAGACAAACTCGGCAAAACTTTGCGACAAACAAATCGACGTATCCACGTCCATGCTATTATTGAAACGATCATACACCATGAGCCCGACGATATCAAGTACCTCCGCGCGCGGAGAGAAATGAAAGAATATACGCGCGGAGAGCCGGAAAGCGCGATGACGATGATCGACGATCGACGATCGACACGATCGACGCGATCCAACGACCGATCTGACCCGCTCGCACGCATCGACTGAAACTGAAATCTGAAATCTGGAATCGGTCCCACGTCCCACGTCCCACAGTCACAGTCTCATCTCCCATCCCACATCCCACGTCCCACGTCCCAAACTGCTTCGAACTCGAAGCTCGAAGCGGCAAGCGGCAAATCCCCCGCGACCTACGCCCCACCACGCGACCTACACCCCACCACCCATCACACGATAGCAGCGGACAACGATCTCGCAGTCTGTGGCCTCTGTGGTCTGTTGTATTATTTTGTACTCTGCTACCATCTATCGTCTATAGTCTATAGTCTATAGCAACGTTTGATAACGCGTATCGTGATTTCATCTATTGCAAAGATATATATATCTTTTGTCAAGAATGCGCCAAAATATACATTAATTGATATTCATATTCGATATTGAAATTATTCTGTTTAATATTTTTTTTACACCACATCAAACACACATCTGATAAATATGCAATATACAATATATCTTTTTCCTTCTCATTTTTCTTTTCCACGAAAAAACGGCGAAAAACCTTATAATTTTAATATATTCTATATATTCTGAAAATTTACTTACCGTACTCACGATAATAATGCTGCATGTATAAAATCACTGCACTTATAAAAAAAAAGAAAACGAGAGAGACATTTTTTTTTCTCAAACGGATAGATGGTTTCTATAATTCGAAATATATACAAGATGTAAATTAGAGCATTGCTAATGCCGCGAGCGCAAATTTGAACGAATTTTACAAATCGACGTAACAATTTTACACGACAGTTGACGCGAGACGCGAAGTAACGACCAACGATCAACGACCCCGGTCCCCGGTCGCCGCCGGTCCGATTTCCGATTCTCGCATGCACCAACTGAAGCTGGCTTCAAGCTACCAAAATTATCAATTCAAAAGGATATCAGAATTCACGTGTATATATATATATATATACACACTCGATATATATATTTACCGTGAAATTTCAATCTTTTTTGCTGCACGCCGTGACTATGTGTGTTCGAGAGAGTGATGTGGCGAAAATTTAGATTAATGTTTACGACAAAAATCTTATGAATTCTTTTTCACATTTAGCTGTGACGTATGATTACTTGTTTCGTAACATCCAGATTTGTTTGAAAAAAAGAAAAAAAAACAGAATTATATTTGATATTTATCTCTCTCTTAGGCTCTCTCGTATAATTTTGTCTGACAATTTAACATTTTTAAACATATGACAAATATGACAGATTAAATACAAGTTTAAAAAATAAATAATAAATGATGTAATATTAAATGAATAAAAATTTACCTTTAAATATCTTTCCAAAAGTTAAAGGCATTATAATATGGCGCCTCCATATATTCTAATACTCTATGTTCTTTTAAATATCAATAATATGTGCATGTGTATATGTGCATATTGCTAAAGTTGGGATAAATAATAATTTATCTCAGTGTTGAGTCACGATAGAAATCTCCTAACTCTTCCTAACTTGTATAATGCGATGTAAGCTGTAGCTGGGGAGATGCTAGAGATGTTACAAAGCGCATTGCATTAAATAATCAAGATAAAAAAATCTTTACTGTTCTTGTTCTGATTCTTTAATCAAAGTATCACGCAGATGCCATGCATTGAAGATTAAGATTGAAAATTGAAATTTGATCAATTGAAAAAAGGAGATTTTAGCTCGTTTTGTCCCGAGTAGTCAAATTCCAATCTTTAATCTATATCTATAATATTCAGTACATAGTCTGATATGAGCTTAATGTCTTTCCAAAGCTAAATAAGCAATTGTATCGATAGTAATCTGGTTAAGAATGGTAACATCAGTAAAAAGTAAAAATATTAAACTAGATAAAGATGAAAAGCTATCTCAAAACAATGTAATTTTATTCGTTCATATGGTCGATTCATATGAAATTTACGTGTACTAAGTATAGCTGTTACAATTACAAAGAGCAATTTTCGTTTACGTGAGAGAAACGTACCAACAATTCCTCCGTTTTCCAAGATATCATTTTAGTCGTTTGTTCAAAATCGACACAGAACACGTACTATTATATTAAATGTTATCTAAAATGATGTATCTAGATCGTCATCTCTCGTTCTTTAGGTGACAAGTCGTAGTTTAGATTCGATCATCGCGCGCAGGGATGTCCGCTACATCAGAACCCTGAATTATTTGCACCCTCAAGCCAATTTTCATCAACGTTATTGTTTCTTCTTTACATTTTCTCGCGTTTTAGTAACAAACTATGTAACGTTTATCGGTTACATTTCGTGCATATAGCGAATGAATAGTTGTAGTAAAACAGATTTACTAATAACCCAAAAGAAATGATATTATGTGTCCAAGCGTGAAACAAATATATATTTGGAAAGAAAAAGAGAAAGAAAAACGAAAAGATCACGTAGGCATTACAGGTATATATCGCAAATGTACACAAGGGAAAAATGTATACATGTGTGTAAAAGTGTGTGTATGTGTGTGTGTGTGTGTGTGTGTGTGTGTGTGTATGTGTGTGTGTGTGTATGTGTGTGTGTGTGTATGTGTGTGTGTGTGTATGTGTGTGTGTGTGTATGTGTGTGTGTGTGTATGTGTGTGTGTGTGTGTGTGTGTGTGTGTGTGTATGTATGTGGGATATATATACACAAGCTTTAATTATTCATAAGATAAAGATTACTTTTTAAGGATAAACAGATTGGCCTTAAAACTTTTAACAGCATATTCGTGGGTTATCAGCTTCTTGAAAGACGCGGAAATTGGTAGCAAGGAGGAATCAATAAGCGTGATGTTCAAAATTAGCACGAAAGTGCAATTAGTTATAAGTTGTGCTACATAAACGAGGAACATGTATAATAAATATCGAATAACAGTTGTAGTACTTATGGTAGTACAAAGTAGTAGAATGCAGCGTACACGTACTATAGCAGCGGCTATAAAAAAGTATCTACTACGCACGAGTTTGTTACATTCGCGCTACTTATTCTCTGTCTCTATTTGTCTTTCTCTCTCTTTCTCCCCTTCATTCTCTCGTTATTCTTATTATTCTCGCTTATGCGCATTCATTGATTCGTTCACTCATTTATTAATTAATTAATTTATTCATTTATTTATTCTTTCTTTCATTCATTCATATTCTCATTTATTTATTTTTTCATTTATTCACTTACTCTCTTTCACACTGCGCGCACGCTTTCTCTCTCTATCGTAAATCCTTTCTCGTCTTATTTTACCACACCTTACATTTGTCTACCTACCTACATCTTGCAATCACTATCATCATTGTAATCATCGTCATCGTGTCATTATATATATTCGGTCGAAAATCGTTACTGCTTTCTTTCCTATAATGGCTGGCCAATCATCGGTATAATTCAGCTGCAACCGGTACAGGATATCTATGTACTTGATTTCAGTCCATTGTGTCATTTTTCAATGTCCATTTGTTCACCTCGTAACACAAACAATAGACTCTTTTTAAAATGTCCAACAATGTCTATTAACATCCTTTAGCTATTCACACATTTTCGAGACCATCTTTTCCATCTCGACGTCTGTGTCGATGTCGTGATGGACATGACTACTCGTACTGCTTGGAACTATATTGTTGGTAGTGATTGGAGTAGTCGCGGATGCCGCAACCGTCGACGGTGTGTTAGGTGTTGTAGTTCCTGGAGTTCCTGAAAGTTCGATGGGTGAGCCTGGCGATGCGAGAGGTTCGGCCAAGTCCTCTAATCCTTTGGGAGTTGGCAGTTTATTTAATTCTTCCCTCAATAACCTATAATGTCTCTGTAAAGCGGAAAAAACATCCCGTAAAGTTATGTTTGTAACTGTGTGCACGAACTTTTTAAAAAATCTTAATGTGATACATTATTCTCTTAGAAAATGTGTGTGACGCTTACCCTCAGAGACAATGCATTGAGAGAAATGGTACGACCTGATCTGCGATCCGATCCGTGCATTTCCATATCTCTTATCCATCCTTCTAATTGCGCAACAATTTCGTGTCTTTTTATCCAAAAGTGAGTATGTATAACCTGTGTCGCGAAATAATCAAAGTTTATTTATTTGCGAAAGCAACGCGTTGTAAAGTAACTGAAATTTTTCGTTCCATAAATAATCTTTAGAAATTTATTCTTAGGCTATAAATGACTGATATGATATAATAATTATTAACTTAAAAATTCGCGGGCGAATAAGAACCGGACACAAATCGTAATGCGTCAGTTTTATAGAAAAATAAGTTTTCTATGAAACTCTGGTTATGTTATAATAATTATTATTATTATAATATTAATATAATCTATTAGTATTAGTTTCTTATAGCCATTTGCGCAAAACTCTTGAAAAATTCTACAAAAATTCTTGATAATTAAAAATAAGAAAAAAAATATTATATATTAATTATAAATTCGACTTGTAATTGTACAAGGATAATTTTTAGCAGTTTTGAAATTTTCAAAAAAATTTTTATTTCTAAAGTGTACACATGACCCTTTCTTCCCTTATACTCTTGAAGATGTTTAATAATTGTTAATCCAGAAATAAATTGTAGCTATAATATTATTGAGAGATATATTTTGCCTAAACATGTGTATATCAGATAAATGAGTTTTATGTTTACAATTAGCAGGAGACTTACCAAACTGCAAATTTTTCATAACTTCCAAATAACGATGCTCGAGGCTCGAACGCAATGGTAATTCAGGCACCGTTGGACTTGACCCGGGCAATTCCTCACCGATACCGGATAATCGGCACGTAGCATTTTGCACTATGGTCGCACTTTCTTGTATATCAGGAATCAACGTGGCTAAGCCTTCGTCTTGCTCGGTATCATCAGGATATTTGGAAGCTGCTTTTATATTTGTTTTATTGCCTCTCGTACGATTTATCTTGTTCACATATGTGTCCACGCACACTCTCATACTCGATAAAAGGGACACTACGGATGGCTCTCCGCCCGATCTACCGCCGCGCGGTAATAATAGTGGTGCCAGTTGGCTGGAGAGAGCCATGGCTCGGAGCAGTTGCAGGACCGCACGGTATAGAGGAATGTGCCTGGCCATGTCCAAAACGGAATCGTTTCGCAGGTACGATGATAACGCTGGAAGTAGACAGGAACGCGCCAATAAATCGGGGAACGGGGCGGGTAACTCCTGTTGCGGTTGCCCATCTCCCGAGTTACCGATGTAACTAGCGAGAACCTGCAGCAACACCGTTACATGCTCATCCTCACATCGTTGACGTAACAGCGCCTGTTCAACGTTCCATGACTGCTGCGTGGATCCGGTACCAAAGCCGGTACCTTTCGCCCAGTATAGATGCGAATTATCATCGCTGCGTCCCCCGACTCCGCCACCATCGCTCTGACCCGTTTTATGTTCGGCCGAACCATCATTCTGTCCAGTTTGATGCGTGAATATCGCCAGGCAATTCAACAGCAATAGCATGGCGCCCACTTCTATAGTCGTCCCCCGTAAAAGCAGCCCGTCATCGGTGCTCGGTGGCGTAGCATCCAGCAGTTGCTTCAAAACTTGAAACGGCAGGGTTGGCAACGATGCGGCCAATGGCGAGGACAGCACCTCGCCGCCCTCGCCGTCATCGGAAACGCCGAGAGCGAGCCGCAGCAAACACTGCGCCCGTTTTTTGTCTCTCAATAGCACTTCAGCGTAACCTGGTAGTCTTAGAAACAGACCAAAAGCCGCGAGAGAATGCGGCGGTACATACGGAGCGGGAACTGATGTCTTTGGCGCACAATTGCTCGTTCTACCTTCCTCCAGAGCTTCGTAAATATCATCGTTGGTCTCTAACTTTACCCAATCGGCGTCCGTCTGTTCCGGCGATGGTGACTTCTCGACGAAGAATGATGGCCTACCAGAATCCGGATATACCAGCGGCAAATGACGCGCCAACACTGCCAAACCACCGCCGGCGCTAAACACGCCTAATGAGCTCTCTATGCTTCTGTAGTTTAACAGTTCGCTGTCGTTTTGCTTCGTCGCGTTTGCTTCTTCTGCAAGTAAATGCGCGAGCGTGAATGAAAAATGATGACTCCCAAAAATATTCGTATTTTCCTTCAAAATTGTGTGATATTTCCCTTAAAAAAGAGAGGGAGGGTGGGTGGGAGTCAGGGAGGAAGGGAGGGAGAGGGGGAGAGAGAGGGAGGGAGGGAGAGAGGGAGGGAGGGAGGGAGGCAGAGAGAGAGAGAGAGAGAGAGAGAGAAAGGAGAGATGTTGTAGAATTATCCTTGTTTTATAGTAACGTGTACTGCGCTACTAATTAAAAGCCTTCAATTTTCAATTTGATATAAATTTTAAGTTATACTTTTAACAAGATTCATAGACATACATTATAAACTTGACGAATAATTTTACTATATATTCTGTGTATACAATGCCTAACATCTCCGATGTTTCATTTCGATATTAATTTGTATTATACACACTTAATTGTGATTTTTCAATAAAATGTTTGTATCAATAAAAAGTTTAATTGATACGATACTAAATAAGAGACGAGCATATACCTTTAAAGTCCTTATTACGTTGACGCAAAATGAGGTGTAAGCACGGTTCGGACAACGATATTCCGCTATCCTCCGCAATTGCCAAGAGTTGCGCGATCGTAAGTTGAGGCGGTAGAGGGATATTTGGACGAGATGAATGTATTAGGTACTGCTGATTTGTCGTGTTGGCCGGATTTGCTTGTGCATTATTAGTTGAGGCTTTACTCGTTACTGGCGTTCCATCTGCAGCAATGCGATTGTGAAACAATAGTGAGAAACATAGTATGTTATCCATTTAAAAAATCAATGATTAATTCTTTCAACTTGAATATAGTACATCTAGTTAGATACATGCAGATTTATAAGATAAACACAGAGAATGTTCTGTGTTGCTTATAGTATTGCCAATATGTATCATCATCTTTTCAGTTTGAAAAAGCAAAGAATAATTATTGGAGCTTGTAAATGTGATAAAGTATTATTAATAACCAAAACTTACCCGAATTTAAACGTGTTTTTCTTACGATAGGACCACGCGCTTGGGATCTATTCGATGCTTCTTTAGCCCGTTTATCTTTCGCTGTGTTCCCAGCAGCTACACTGAGTGTATCTACCACTAATGCCATTCCAGATTCCCATAATTCACGAGAACGATTATTTCCTACAGTGGAACTTGTTTCGTTACCCTTGTACGAATTAGGAAGTAATAAGAGAAGCCACGTTCCTTAAAAATTAAATTTTATAATGTTATAATGTCCATACATGTTAAAAATATTTCAAGCAATCTTTTCTAATACTTGCATCTATTTTCTATTCGCTTTTATATATATTTTATTCCAAGTAAGTTTGAATAATTATTATTTTTATTTAATACTAACTTGTTTAATACACAAGTGTGCTTAGTGTATGTACGTGTGCGTGTGCGTGTGCGTGTGTACCTGATACTTGTTGTAGTATATCTGCCACTGTTGCTTGCGTCGACATGTATAATAATTGATGATAATGTCCGAGAGGATGAGCAGGGTGCGGCGGCATAGATGGCATACTGTGATTGGCCGCAGTTGTTGAAACTTTCATAGGAGCTTCTGATGTTACAGAAACCAATACCTTCTCTCCTTCCAGGAGAAGTTGGAGAATCAATCTTCGCGTAAATCCAGAAATGCCGTGAAGATATCGCACATCTGATAATGTAACATATTATTATTCAATAAAGGCTAATTTCGTTGAATTGATCAATTCACTATCACAATACGTTATTAACGGGAGAGAAAAAAAAAACTCGAAATTATTCAAGCGGTTTTCAATATCACAGCATATACATTCACTTACTTGAAGTAGTTCGTTGTTGGGAAATCACTTCAATCAAAAGTTTTGCTAATAACTTTTGATTAGCAAAGTGACACCAGCAACATCTTGATAGGAATTTAATCATGGCACTTTCCAACGACGCGTATGATGCGCTTGTTTTCGAGCAACTGCAATATGTCATAATATGCGTGTAGAAAATTTTTTATTTATTATCTAAAAGACGTAAATAATATAAGTCTATATAGCAATCACGAGCACACAGCTGATAAACTCGTGAGATATTATTTCGTGAATTAATTGTACTTTGTTGGTAAATATCGAATCTACGAGCCAATGCTTTTATGGTTTTATATTATTTACATCATATAGGATACAGTATTGTAGTCTTTATGTGTCTTCCCTGAAATATATATGTATATTGTCTGAAACTTTCATGTTAACGTGAACATAAATACCTTGACGCTACCGAGGCTGGACTTTCAATCGGACGATTACTAAGAAGCGATAGAAGTGGCAACCAGAAACCATGGCCCTCTTTACCAAGCCAATCACGCATTCTACCTTCTGAACATACGAGTGTCAAGAATTCTATCACTATCGCTATACTCTCTGGTTTTGTCATGCATAGTCCATCTGGAAAATAAATAAATAAAACGATATACATATTTATGTAACACCTCTTTTGTGCAAGAGTAAAAATCTTATTTCGACACTGTAAAATTCATATTTTTTAACATTATCGTTCAAAATTCATAGTTTAATATGTATAATAAAAGGTTAAAAAAAAATTGTTATTTTATACACGGTCTGTCCCAAAAGTTTCCAAACTTTCTTTGTATAGACGATATTAGTAGCGCTATCTGTTTAATCGAGATTACGCTGTCTTCGTAGAAGCTTCGTTAAAAATTCTGGTAAGTTTGATCGAGATCCCACTAACAGCTGATTTACCATAGGGGCAACAGTGAAGTTATCTCTTTGACACTCGTCAACATCAAATTGTGTGTTAAATTGTGACTTGCTAATTCCTGTAATATTCTTGATGAGTCTCATGGACATGCAACAGTCTTTTTTGATCAATTCACGAATTTTTTTCTACGATTTCGTCTGTTCGATTGATTGATGGTCGTCCGCTGCGCTCGTCGTCTTCCAGCGATTCTCTGCCGTCCCGAAACTTTGTGAACCATTTATAAACTGCTGTATGTGATAGTGCTTGATCCTCATAAACCTTCCGTAATATTTCGG